AATAATAATTTTATTTTAGTAATCACTGTGCTTAAAGTTTAATTGTTTTAATAGGTATATTTTAGTTTTCTAAAATTATTGCACAATGGGTAAAAATAAGAATATAAATGACTAATTCTATAAAAAAAAAAAAGTATTTATCATACATGTATATGGTTTACAAATTGAATTCTTAATAATTATCATTAATTTACATTTACAGTATTTATATTATATAACTGAGATAATAATTTGAATGTCTTGAATTCTTAATAATTATCATTAATTTACATTTACACAATTTATATTATATAACTAAGATAATAATTTGAATGTAAATGTATCCATCACTAAGATCTTACCATTTTATCATTTTCTGTTATTGAATCGCAGCAAAACCAGTATTATACAGTATTTCAATCAGTCATTTATATTCTTATTTTTTTATTCTTCCCTTTAATAAAATTATTATTATTATTAAAGGGAAGTATTTAATTGAAAGTGATTTTTAATGTAAGTCATTTTAAAAATTAAAATAAATTTAGAAAACTAAAAAAAATTAAACTTTAAGCACAGTGATTACTAAAATCTACAATTATCATTGTTCACCCTGTTGCCCACCCACTTTAACAATGGTATATTCCAATTGGGTGGTTTATGTCCTGGGTGGTTTATGTCCTGGGTGGTTTATGTCCTACATTCGAACAAGCACCTCTACAGAGCCGTCTTACCACCGGAGAAAAATGAATAAATAAATAATCAAATATATGTAAAAAAGATAAGGATTCAATTAGAAAATAAATAAATAAATAAATCAGCAACAGCCAGAACAGTGACAAAATGAGATCCAAGTGCAAAAATTATCAGGAAAAAAATAAGATTTCAATTTAGAGTTGTAAAATTCAATAACTTTGTTCTTAAAAGAAGGAAAGGAAGAGTCTGATCGAATTGATAAAGGACGATTATTCCAGATGAAAACAATTCGTTGAAAATAAAAAGATTCATGAGCCTTAGTTTTGCACCGGCGTATAGATAACATAAAATGATCAGACGAAAGTCTGGTGGTAGGACGGCCCTGTGATGAATTAAAATGCACATAATCATCAATAGAAATATCATAAATACCATAAACACTTTTGAAAAAAATAAAGAGATCACTGATCTCGCGTCTAAAAGACAACGGTAACAAGTCAAGCTGCAAAAGGCGCAACTTATAATCAAGGTTAGGATAATGCAATATGAATTTAGTAGCCCGTCTTTGTATACCCTCGATACTCCTTATATTTCTTTTGGATGTACCACTCCAGATAGAAATACAGTACTCAAGATTACTTCTTATAAGTGATAAGAAGAGTGTTTTAGCAACATTACATGAAGCATCATAACCTATGATTCGCTTAATCATCCCAAGCTTTTTATTGCATTTACTAATTATTTTATTAACATGGCCATTCCAATCAAGCGTAGATGATATATTGACTCCAAGATCAGTGATAGAATCATCTACTTTAAGAGATATACCATTCAATTTATAATCAAAATTTATTTTATTTTTGTTTTTTCTAGTAATAGATATAATTTGACACTTAGAAATATTAAAATGCAAATCCCAAGTAGTACTCCATGAGTGGATAGAGTCAATGTCTTTTTGCAAGCTACTGCAATCAGACATAGACTTAATTTCTTTGAAACACTTGGAATCATCAGCAAACATTGCCATAGTGGAATGGTGGACAGAGCTGGGCAAGTCATTAATGAATAAAAGAAACAGAAACGGTCCAAGTATGGAGCCCTGGGGAACTCCGGAGATAACAAGAAGCCAATCAGAATTACACCCTTCTATAACCACCCTTTGATAACGATTATTGATATACGAATTAAACCACCCCAAAAGATTTGAATGAAACCCGAAAGATTGTAATTTGTAAATAAGAAGTTTATGAGACACACTGTCGAAAGCTTTAGAAAAATCTAAATAAAGCATGTCAACCTGCCCAGCTTTGTCCAGCACAGAACTTATTTCTTGGAAAACAGTAAGAAGTTGTGTGCTACTGGACACCTGTTAACCAGAGTCTCGAGGCTCTGGGACAAACGTGGGCTATGGCGAATGTAGGTAAAAATGGCCCCGTTAAAAATGGCCCCAGTAAAAATAGCCCCTAATGACAAGTAAATAAAAATGGCCCCAATGAAAAAATTCAGTAATAGAAATGATATTTGTTTTTTTAATCTTCAAATATTTAAATACTGTAATAAGCAAGAATTAAATAATAACAAATAAATACAGTTACAGACAGACAGATGCAAATTGTACTGAGAGATTATCGGAAAACAATGGCCATTGAATAACACTTTTTGATAGTAGAAATAAGTTTTAAAAACGTTATTCCACAACAAAGTAGAGGAATGACATACATACAGTACTTCAACTACCAAAATGTGCAACTCATAGAAAACCACAACATTCACTTTTGTTAAGTATCAAATGAAATAACTTTACATGTATAAACAGTGCAAATAAACAGTAGTTAAAGCATGTTGATCAATTGTGTGTTTGAATCACAAGTTCATGTATGGGAAAAGGGAGAGGCTTACTTTCTCACAAACTTAGCAATAAATGTTCTGCTTAGAGTTACTTCAAAGAATCCCATCCAAGACTTTAATTATGATTGTGCAACTCTCTTTAAAAAAAAATAATAATAATTTGATATTCATATAAAATCACTGTTTGTGGGGTTTACCAATAGGCCTACCCGGATTGGATTTCTGGAAAATTGTGATTCCGCTTCCGTGAAATTGGCCACAAATAAATTATTTTAGTATTAATAAATGTAAGATTTATGTTGATTTATTGATTATGTTGTTGCTATTTTTTAACATTTAAATGGAAAAAAATAAAAAGTGTTATTTATGGCTTTTTATCTTTGAATATTCAATCATTGAATATGTAATTCCTGCAAAAAGTAAAATGTAAATGGCAATTTATTTGATGTTAGATTCCTTTAAAAAACTAAATTATTTCAGTTAAAAAAAAATGCATATAATGATTTTTTTAAAATCAGTTTTAATACAGAATTTTATTATTGGGGCCATACTTACCTACCTGTCATTTGGGGTCAATTTTACAGGGGCCATTTTTCCTGGGCCATTTTCCGGGCCATTCTTACCGTACACCGGCTGGCTGTGCAGCGGTATTGCTGTGAGGAGGGCGTGTGGACGTCCCACAGGATTAAAAGAAATACGACCTGACCTGACAAGGGCGGATGAGCTCCAAAAAGGGCCACGGCCATCCATATCTGGAGTGGAGTTAAGCACCACCAGATTACATTGCCAATTAAAACACGATGATGAGTACACTGTAAAGCTACACTATACCGGATCGGTCGAGGCCCGGGTTACCAACGACCGCCTCTAGCATTGGCACTCACCAGGATGGGAGCTTCGAAAACATAATTTGTTTGTTTCGTTGAAACAAAATTATTACAAGGCATGTAGACTATTGAACACTGTATTTATTTTCTAAGGAAACTTTTGGCCAGTCTTCTGGCCTTCATCAGCTTTACTGAATGCAAAAGATTGGCTGTTGCAAGTTGTATACTGTACAAGATAAACAATACAATAGTGATGTAGACGGATTATAGTTCAATTATCTAATAGTTTATGCTGTAATATACAAAGTGAGATCCGACTGAGATCAAAGCGGTCAAGTATAGAGATAGTGGTGTTAAAAATTAAACAATTCTCAAGCGTACATATTAGAATAATATGGTGGGAAGCGGACTTCACTACACTATAAGTAAATGATTATGGAATCTTAAAAAGTAAATGCTGGAATATATGAATGAAAAATAAATTAACCTATAGGCTTACAAATAGGCTTATACAATGTACAGATACATACATAT